GTGATGAGTAGAAGATGTTCAAATAATTGGCGTGCCTTATTTGAACCAATTGTTGCCACTTCTATTACAAATATATCATCTTATGTCCAATTGTTGCCACTTCTCTTACAAATATATCATCTTACGTCTTTGGGCATTATATGACCATAAGTATGATATTCTTTCTCTTTTTAAACTCACTTTAAATATTCCTTACCACATATAATGCTTAGGTCTGTGGCTTCCCATGTATATGCATATTTTCTTGACAGAACATGCTTTTTTATTAAGTTTATTTTCACTGGACATTGTGGAATGCATGTTAGCGTGAGATCCAATCTAACCGGCTTCAATAATAACTATTCAATCACATGTACCACCATTTTTAAGGTTGCTAATTCTTTGGCACCCACTCATTATTTCAGTCTTTGTGTATTTCTTTATAGCCATCTAAGACACTGTGTATCTGTCCCTGGCCCTTTTAGCTTTCATACTGTTTTCTTCTGTGTTTTTGTACTGGTCCTATAATTCCTTAGCATGAAGCCTAAGAATATATTCACTTTCTTGCACCTTTGGATTTCTTCTCTACATTTGGATCTCTTCTCTTCATTTGGATCTTTGAGAAAGATGCCTTACATGATGACTGCCCCTTTCTCTACTTTGCCTCTTGTTTAAAAAATTATTTTATTGATACATAATAGATGTGTATATTTTCAGAGTACCTGTGATAATTTGATATATTCATATAACAAAGATCAAATCAGGTTAATTGGGATATCCATTATGTTAAATATTTATTCTTTATGCTGGGAACATTCAAATTATTCTCTTTTAGCTACTTTGAGAGGTACAATAGAGTATTAACTATAGATGTCCTACTGATCTATTGAACATGAGTTCTTTTTCACATTTCCTCTTCATTTTACTCATTCTCTGGGTTCAATTAGCATCCAGAGCACCTCTGCATCTCACTTGTAACTGCTTTATTTTTCTCTTTCTTTTGGAGTTAGTGTTTCTCATAATTCTAGACATTATTGCTTGTTGTTTGATTATTTTTTCTTTTTTTTTGCAAAAGAAGCATGTTTCGGGGCCGGGCGCGGTGGCTCACGCCTGTAATCCCAGCACTTTGGGAGGCCGAGGTGTGTGGATCATGAGGTCAAGAGATCGAGACCATCCCGGTCAACATGGTGAAACCCCATCTCTACTAAAAATACAAAAAATTAGCTGGGCATGGTAGCGCGTGCCTGTAATCCCAGCTACTCGAGAGGCTGAGGCAGAAGAATTGCCTGAACCCAGGAGGCAGAGGTTGCGGTGAGCTGAGATCGCGCCATTGCACTCCAGCCTGGGTAACAAGAGCGAAACTCTGTCTCAAAAAAAAAAAAAAAAAAAAAAAAGGCATGTTTCTCTTAAACTTTTTTGAAACTTAAAATGAGTCAGGAAGAAAGCCTGAAATGTGAGTCTTCCCCTCCCTCCCCCTCAACAGTCCTTACTTTGTATCACAGAGTTTTGCAGGTGTGTAGCATTTTTCACTAACACCATTTAGGGTTGGGCCCATTTTTGTATGTATAACATGTTGAGGTTGTCACTAAAATAAAATAAAAATGAGGACGTTATTGCCTCTCAGCTCCTCTTTTCCCTTACCTGAGATATAAATAATATTTGCCAAGCAATCACAAACACATTGTCATCAGGGATGAATTCTTATCCTTCTCCAAGCTTTAAAAGAAGTTTTCAGAGTTATAAAGTAGGAAGAGTGCAGGACAGAGAAAGCAGCCTTTTAAAACAAAGTTCAAATCAATAACAATGGACATTTCCTAGCCTCTATTTTTCTGTTAATGACTGAAGACAAGTACCAATTAGAGAAGCTTCAAATGTCTGGATTTCTGGTTGTAGCAAGTGGTGGGACATGCACACTGTTCATCGTGCCATGAAGTCCAGGTTGTTCTTAGCTACGGTGAGTCCATCTCTATCTTGGCTGAGGACACTTGAATCTGCCCATTGCTTTGCCCTGACGCTTTTTCTTTGCCCTTTATTCTGTCCTACCCACTTCTAACTTCAGGAGGAAAACTGCCATCTTTAGTAAGGAATCTGGGGGTCTTTTATTTTTCTGTTTTTCCTAACCAGCTCATTTTAGTCATCATTTTCTCATCAGGTTTTCCATTAGCACTTATGTTATCACCTGATCTCACCAGATTTTTAATCCTCCCGTTGCTTCTTTCTTATTGTTCTCAAGATCATACAAACTGGAACTGAAGGCAGGCCCTTCAATAGCTAGCATTAAGATAGTTCTACCTCTTGATTATTTTTTAAACTCTTTTCACAGATTGTCTGAAAACATGTTTTCTTCTTTTAGTTTGTACTTCAAATATTTTCTTTCTTAGCTATTAACTCCGCTAACCAACTCTGAGAAAGCTTTGATTTTTGTATAGACATTTTCAATACTGTTGAGTGTTGTTATTTTGACAAATGCTGCACATGCATTTTCTACAGTATGAAAGCCATTCATATTAAGACGACAAAACATGGAACTGTTTATGTTTAGCTGGATTCTTGCTTGTCAGAGTTGTTTTACCAGGACATATTCATTCTGTTAGTTCTGAGAGTTATGATGTAATTACCCTTGGTAATGAAGCTTTGTCTTGATTTGGTGTTTTCTGTTGAAATATTTTTTGATAGAACCAAAAGAAAATAGTGACTGGTTTCCATCAGCATTTTCAGTTGAAGTGAGCAATACTGATTTTTTTTTCTGCCTTTTTTATTATGTTCCTTGTCCCTGCTACAGGGTGAGGCAAGAGGACCAATTAGGAAGCTGCTGTCACAATTGTAGCAAGATTTTTGAGGGCCTGACCTTTTGGAACAATATTAGTCATGAAAAATAATTCACATTATTATTTTCAAATATGCAGGCAAGAAGGGTTTCCTTAGTTTCATTTATAATGTTGTAACTGTTTTTAGAGTTTAGAAACTTCAGTTTTTCTTAGCATCTCTATTTTCTTTTTAGCATGCCCTCTTTGGTACATGTCTAACTGATTGTGGGAATTATCACATGTCCCAGTTATGATTTCCTAGTTTTAGAAACTTAGTGTTTATTGCATCCTTTGAAAAAAATAATATTGTGGGTTTCCCCTTTTGATTATAAAAGTAAAGGGAAAACAAAAATAACTTATGCTGTTACCCAGAGATAACAATTACTGGCATTTCCATGTGTTTCCTTTTATTTTCTGTAGGTATATAAATAATTGTCTATGCCAAAATGCATTTCTATAAATTTTTATTTACTTGTACAAAATCTTGCATTTTATGAAACATAAAATTATGAGATTTCATTAAATATTATAAGTACATAATATTGATTAATCACATGGATACACCATGTTTACTTGATAATTTCCCTATTGTTGACCATTAAAGTTGTTTTTAATTTATTTTTATAATAAATTCTGTGGTTAGTATTTTCATGAATAATAAATCTTCATGTCTATCCTCAGGATACTAGATTAATGTATAAAGACATCTTTAAAGTCAAGAACTTCTTTGAAGGCTAAAACTGAATATGTAAAGGTGTGAATGAACCCTAACGGCTGAAAAGTCCCAACCAGTTGAAGGGGTAGCAGTAGTGCTTAGCTGCTCTGCATTCCCCACCTCCACCTTGATTAGAAAATATTGGAGCACAGAGAAGTTTCAAGGGGAAGGCATAGAGTGCAGTGGCAAGGGGTATTTGGCCCTCCTTCCCCTGTCTCCTTACTCTTCCCCAGGTGCCTCTCTACTCAGGAGTTTAACTTGGATGCCAACATGTTTTCTGACCTTTCCTTGGAGTTTTTGTTTGATTTTGATCAAAATTTTTCTGTTTACCAAAGAAGGTAGCTTTTAGCCACCATGTCCTTGTCTTTTTCAGCTGCTTGTGAGCATTGCACAATAAGTAAAATGTCTTCTGTAAGCCCTAGTATTCTTGTACTGTAGGAGGAGCCTAGTGAAGGCATATAGTAGTAGAACAGCAGAAGAAGGGCTACTTAACCTCACAGATTTCCAGATTTCAGTGAATAGCTTAGGAAACAAAATTAATACAGCTCTTCTCATATAAGTCAGTTCATGGAAGCAAACAATTATTTGCTTTGGATATTGTATCTGTTAAGCTACTACTCACAACTTAAAGGTTTTGTGTGTGTGTGTGCGCGCGTGCGTGTACATGTGTGTCACCAGAAAGTTAATTTTTTGACCACAACAATGTTAAGTTTAGTTTTTCTTGATCCTCGTTATTCTGAACTATTTTATGTTGATGGAAAATTTGTCTTTTAAATAAATTCTAAAAAAGCAGACTAATATGGGGTCATTTCATATTGCTATGATATAACCTTATTCGCAGTGAATGACTTTGATTCTAATTAAATTGAGTATTTCTAGTTATTAATTAATATTTCAGTTTTGAAGTTTCCATATTAGAATTAATTATCTGTCTTTAAGTAAATTATTTCAGCAATTGAAGTTGTATCACGATCCTAGGGAGCTAACAAGAATGATTTTCAACTGTTACAAATAGCATTTGTATTTATATTTAAAAAGTTCTTCAATTGACCAAGCAGATGTTATTACAGATTTTTGTCTTTGATATGATAAATTTCCCATTAATTTAGAAAATCTGCGTTTAAGGAATGTGCTATCAAGTTTTGCATAGATGAGCTGCAATTTGTGAAAGTTCAAGCAGCTGTACTGACAAACCATTTGACAAATTTGTAACTGAGACTCTTAAGCAAAGACTAACTTCTGGAGCTTTATGGTCTGTAATTTATGTTCAGACACATGCATTTGAATTTCTTCTCTTTTGTGGGTCCAGGAGGTGTGATAGACATTACCCATATGTATATATACATATACATACATAGATACATGTACATATTCTGTCATATATATTTACATGGTGTATCCAGCCTAAGTTGTATGTGAAGATGCATATACTTTTTAAAAAACTAAAAATGTTCACTTTAAGCTTTCACTAACTTTGAAAGAAATTTCTCTTTGTCTAGGTTGAAGAAATTGTGGATATTGGAGCATTTGCTCCAGAAGACATCCATATTCCACAGATTTATGTACATCGCCTTATAAAGGGAGAAAAATATGAGAAAAGAATTGAGGTAATTGTCTTAGCTGCTCTGTCAGTATTTATGGATCCAGTTACAGAGACAATGTGTCCCCGAGGCCATTCCAGATGATGGGGAACTGGAGCTGAGCAGAAAGTCTGGTTTTGGATCTTAGCAAGAGCTTCTCATGTGTCTGTCATTATGGAGACATAATAGTCTATGCCTCTGTGCAGCCTAACAATGCCTTGTCATCACAAGGTATTTATCACATATCATGAGATTCTCTAGGCTGTGTCTACCAGCTTCTACTGTCCTAATTTATGATGTATAGTTTTTCTGTCTGTCTTAGAGGGGAGATAAGAATAATGATGTCTTTGGTGGCTTTACCCCTGCTGGAGTCTTATCTTAATATTTGGTTTTTCAGAATTGTCTATCTTGAAGGTGCTTTGCACTTTTCTAGAGTGCAGAGTGTCATTCCAATTAGCTTTGGACTGTGGGTAGCTGGTAAGTATGAGATTGTGGCAAGGAGTGTAGGTGCCAGGAGCACTGAAAGTATTGTAAAGCCAATGTGTTATTCCCATTTGCATTGCTGTAAAGGAATACCTGAGACTGTGTAGTTTATAAAGAAATTTATTTGGCTCACAGTTTTATGGACTATACACGAAGCATGGCCCCAGCATCTGCTTCTGGTCAGGACCTCAGGAAGCTTTTACTCAGAGCAGAAGGCAAAGGGGAAGCAGGTATGTCACATATGAGAGATCAAGAGAAGGTGCCAGGCTCCTTTAGACAACAAGCTCTTGTGAAAACTAAGAGTAAGAACTTTCCAAGGGGATGGCACTAAGCCAGTTCATAAGAAATCCGCCCCCATGAGCCAATAGTTCCCACTAGGCCCCACCTCCAACACTGGAAAGTACATTTCAAACTGAGATTTGGAGGGGATACATGTCTAAATGATCAGCCAGTGAGAGCAGAATATGGCCACCTAGCCAGAATTACTATCATGATTCAGAAGTGTCTAGGGATCAGCAACAGAACCACAGGGAACCAGAGATACCCACTACCTTGTAGATATCAAACAGAAAGATATTTTATAATACAAAACCAGCGTCAGGGGCCTAGGAAGAAAGGATGGGATTTTTGTTAACACGAGCCAGAGTCTATGCCAAAGAGATTTAATAAAGGACATAGCTTGGCTGGTTTCTGGGTATTTCTATGATTCCTGTGATGCACTTGTAACAAAACTAGTCTAGACTTTGCAGGTGGAAACAGGCAGTTGGCAGCAGCAACACCTGGTAAACACATTCTGACAGCGCTGAAAGACACATTCCCAGAGACTGTTCCTCTTTTGTTCTTCTGGCCAATCTCTGAGCACCAGATGAGAATTTAGTTGGAAGAGTAACAGAAGTAGCGGACAGTGTGATAGTAGCAGAGAGATTCTTTGCTTCAAACAGACTGAACAGCGTATCTTCCTCTTTAAACAAATCTGACCACTTTCGTTTACTTCCTAAAGAATTATTTATACCATCAAATATTACTCATATTATTTTTTAAATCTCTGGTATATTGTAGCTTTGTCTCATAATGATGGGAGAGAGGTCATCTTTTTTTCCTGTAAAATTTATTTCAGCAGTGATAAAATACAAAGCATACTTTCAATCACAAACATTTTATTTCTGTTTAATTTAAAGCGTTTATCAATCCGGAAAGAGGGAGATGGAGAAGCCAAATCTGCTAAACCTGGAGATGACGTAAGGGAACGAATCATCAAGAGGGCCGCTCTTGAGTTTGAAGATGGCATGTATGGTATCCTTTCAGAGCCTGGGCAAAGACATAGCCTTTGCTTTTCCCATACTGATCAGGCTATTAGACTTCTTGCATAGTGAGTTGTCGCTAGTCTATTATAACTTTTAAGATAATTAATCATTTTTTTTTTTTTACAAAATGTAGCATATAGCCCAAAGATAACAAGATACATGACCGATATCTCTTTGCCTACTTGAAACAAAATGGCGATCAAATATTTGCTTATTTTCTCATATACAATAGATTTCCGTACAACTTGCATTTAATGGGAGGTTACTGGGAAAAGAGATTACCCAAGGTGAGAGTTTTCAAATCTCAGAATTCCTAATGATAACCAGTGCTAATATTTTCTCTGTGTCCTGACATTTGCATATTCACTGAAAGATCGAACTTCTTAACAACCCTCTTCTTCTCTAGATAAAGATCCTGTGAATACCTTTTTATATATAATGTTTTTTAAGAGTATTCAACAAATGATTCAAATTCTGCTTTAGATACTTTGTCAAAAAAGAAGGTAGAGTAGACATAATTTAGTACAATTAATATTTGGATTTTGAATCCATTTAAATAACAAGTCTGTTCACTGTTTTGCTAATTTTCACTACAGCAGACTTAGAACTATATAATACAAATAACACATACAAATACAGATATCATATGATAGAATGAATGTTTGTTGAATGGTAGATACAGTAAAGCTGTACTTAAAGACCTAGGGCAGGAAAAATGAGAGACATGACAAATGTCTACATTCTGTGAGCTTTTCTAGTCCATAAATATCAGTCTTCCAGACTGATCTTGACTGAGAGACCTTTTCTTTTTCCACTTTCTTTTTTCCTTTATCTCATTTTTGTTTATTTTGCAGTTGACACCTTGTGTTATGGTGCGAACTCACATAGGGGAAAAAAATGACATGTTGCCTGTCTTCCAGCTCTTGTATCAGCAAGGTACAGAGTCAACCCAGTTGAGTTAGTAGGTGAAAGTTGGTCACTGGACTTTTTTCTCAACCCATATTACCCTGACTTACCATTGATATATAAACACTGACTATAACATTGATTTTAGGTATTCTTTATTCAGTTATTGTATTGCCTGTGAAAAATATCTGCAAGTCAGTTTATGTAAATGGACTTTCTATATCTCCTACTCTTTTCAACCCAAAATACATAGACTTTTTTCCTCCCTGGTGTTTGACTTTAAAGTTTTAAAGAACTGAGAGTATAGGTTCTGATGAAAGAGTTGAGGTACCAGGCTTGTAATTTGGGTTACTCTGTCCTAAAAATACCTACTCATAATGGAATTAATCTCAATGTGCTCTGTCCATTATTGAGAAATAAATTAGAAATAACATTATAGTAGACTGTGATAGAACACTAGAGGTGAACCAAGTAGCTATAATCATAGCTTCATAGATTTACTGTATCCACAAGAAGTGATCTGGATCATAGAGTTGTCCTGCTGGCCTTTGTAGTTTATAATATGGCACCATATATAAACCTCCTCTGGCTTTGATTCATGGAGACGTCACTGTTAAAATCTCATCAGAGTGCCATTGTTCTTTCTACTAGTTCTGGTGAGGTATTTGGTGTGCAGTGGTAGTGGACAGTAGTGGGCAGTAGTTCCAGGCAGTGTGAGTATCTTTGATCTGATCAGCCTGCCTGTGTTGATAGGCTGTATTGAACCCACATCATTGAGTAGTAATCATCGTCAATCCTGTTTTGATCATCTAAGTAAGAAGATTCAACAACCTCAGTTAACTCTTTGGTGCCTTAACAGCTGCTTTATATATGGGCTCAACTGTATTTGCTGAAATTTAATTTCCTCCTCACTTTTCTTTTTATGTCACATAGAAAATTCAGTTGCCAATGAATGTTACCACAGACACCCAAAGGATCTGATAGATCCTTTTTATGTCACATAGAAAATTCAGTTGCCAATGAATGTTACCACAGACACCCAAAAGATCAGATCTTTTAGGCAGAAATGTTGGTATTGTCAGAAAACTTTTTAAAATTAAAAAAAAATTTAAAAAACCGTAACCCCATTTATCAATAAAGTTGATAAACAATGATCTTTACTTTTGGCAGGAGTTTTGAATAGTGAAAATCATTCTTTAAAGAAAAGGCAAGCTATGTTTAATAATCAGTCATAATACATCAATCCAAATTTGCAGAGCACAGTAATGAAAATGTTCTTATGTTTTTTTTTTTAAATGTAATAAATGGCTAGCTTCTGAGGCTACTACTTTGATATTGGTGGGAAAGCATATTAATGTTATTGAAAAAGCTGTGACTACTTAGAGACTGTCTTTTTGAAAAATTACAAAATAATACCCAGAGGGTGATTGGAGAATATATTCATTTATAACTCAGAGTAAGCCACCTTTAAATAAGGCTCCTGTTTAGATCTATATATACAGAAGATTTATGGCATAACCTCTCTACCTTTTGTTTGCTGGGCCTTAACATCTTCTTCTTCCAGCTAATTTGGGCATAGGAATCCCTCTCCTGGCCAGCAACTTTATCAGCCCAAGTATGACTGTTCATCTTCAAAGTGAAAATGGAGTTCTGGGTTTGGTAAGATGAAAATTTGTTTTTTAAAATCCAGTTTTGATGAAGAATGAGATATTTCACGTGGTGAAATTTTTTATTAAATTTTTATTTCAATAGCTTTTGGGATACAAGTGATTTTTGGTTACATGGATAAATTGTATAATGCTGAAATCTGAGATTTTAGTGCATTCATCATAGTGAAATCTGAGTTGTTGCATAAAGTGTCCAACCTTATTTTTCTTTTATCATAATAAAATATTTAACTTTTCCCTTAAAATGTGAACATGTAGTATTGTATTTTATGTAGTAGATGGTAGGTTCCTGACTCTGGGCTTTCTAACTGCATCTCCCATGAGGAACCTGATTCAGAGAGACCTCATGATTGTCTATATAAACTATTACTCATCCTTCTGTGGTTGGACAGATAATGAGGGTTGTCAATAATTCTATGTTAAATAAAATTAAGTAAGCCTCAGAGTGAGAAATTGAAGAGTAAGGTTTTCTCTTTAAGACAGGAACATTATTTGAGTTGATTGCCTCAAGAAGCTGTAGAAGTTCTCATCTCATTCTCCTTTTGAGGCCCTATTGTCCAAAAGGTTACATTTTTTCTTACTTAAGATTAAGCTTCCAGATAAGCTCAATTTTTTAGTGAGGCCATATTTTTTCATTATTATAATAAAATTATATATTTTTCCTGCCTGGATGACATTTTCATTTAATTAACAATGGTAAGGATTATTAATGGTTTGCCTATTCATAATCTTTTATTTCTTAGTGGATCATGACTGTTAATGCAATAGAAATTATACATATGGAAAATATATTCACAATTCAAAATATAAATAATGATGATGGGCATATAGTTGACACTGATTAAGGCAATAATCATGATGTTTTCAAAGACACAAAAATGATATATATTTGGATAAAAGCAGATTCATGTGGAAGTCAAAGACTTGCATTTTTAAGTTGCCTTGGGGATTATCTAGAGTGATCAAATTTCTCATTTTGAAGAAAAGTGAAATAAGTTTGTGGATTTCCCATGGCCAATGTTTAAAGAAAATTTATATAATTCTGAGTATTAGTTGCCACTTCAGTTTAAAAGTTAAATTTTGGTCCCTCTCTAGAAAGTATGTAAAAATTTCATAGCCAGTATTTCTTCAGTTTTTGATCTATCTTATATCTTATGTCTTTTTATTTTTTTATGTGTTCCTCCCTTTTTATATAATATATGTGATATTCTTAAACTACTTGCCCTGTTTAAATAGTTACTTTATAAAAACATATGCAAAAATTTAAAAACTTTACTGAAAATAGCTATACAAAAGGAACATAAGGACATACGTATATCAAAACTTAGATGTAGTGAGGAGCACGATTAGAAACCCAAATTCAGGCCTTCACATTTTACAAATCAGAAAGCTAAAAGTTTGTCTCTCCAGGTCTTTCTAGCCAAATAATGTGATGTAGTTTGTATTAATTGATCTTCACAGAAAAGTTTTTGAATAACATTGGCTGCGTAGTAGCTACTAAATTTTTCCTTTTTTTAAATATTTTTAAGAGAATGGGGTCTCACTATGTTGGCCAGCCTGGTTTTCAGCTGGCCTCAAGTGATCCTTTTGCCTCAGCCTCTCAAAGTGCTGAGATTACAGGCATGAGCCATTGTCCCTGGCCTACAGTAGTTTTACTGACCTATATTTCTAATGAATTTTCACAGTAGGGACTAAATAATTACGTTTTGTTTTATAGACTTACATTTCTAATAGCATAGCATTTCTTTCAAACTGGTAATTTTTAGAAAATATTTTTCATTTACCCAATCACAACTTCAGTATAGAAAAGACTAACATGAGAAACAGAACCATGGACACCACAGAATTATTTTTCAGAAGTTTAACTCAAGTCTTCAGGTGATAAATTTCTAGGGTTCTTAGGGAAGTTATTTATAGTACAGTTTTAGTATGTGATTCAGTGAGAATCTTCATTTACTAATTGAATGTGTGTTGTATTTGACAGGGTCCATATCCACGACAACATGAAGCTGATGCAGATCTAATCAATGCAGGTAAGCTCACTTATTTCTAGCTTTTCCCTTTGCTGCTAATTTTGTGCTAAATAACAAGAGTTTGGACTCAATTCTTTGTCTCTTCCTGGAGAGCACTCCACTGTATTCATTGTTGAGGAGGGGAAATAAACTTTTTTGAGGTCTCCTCTCATTCAGGAATGACTAAGATAAAGGAGGAAATGCAGATGGAAGAACTTTGCTGGGTCAGTCAGTTTCCTGCTTCTAAATAGATAGCACTCTTATATGGGGTAATTTACAAGGGCATGGACATGATTAAAAGAGATCCAGAAAGGATGGTGAAATCCCACAGGGAGTTTCCACCTCTGGGCCCTATGGGGCAGTGATAGGAGAAGGCCACTTAACAGAAACTGTAGCCTTTGGTAGAGGAACTCAGTCAACTCACAGCAACCTGGCTGGGTCGAGGGTCTCCTCTGCTGGATTGCCTGCCTGTGCCTCCCATTAGACAATCTCAAGTCAAAGTAGGTCAGCCTTCTCAGGATAGAGAAGAGTGAGAGTGAATCCATAGCAGCAAAAAGAAACTATCTGGTGCATTGGGGTTTTTGTTGTAGGTAATGATTACTGTTTTCTAGTTCTCATTGGAGCAGGAGAGGTGTTTAAGGAGGCACTCTGCCAGTAAGTACAAGTACGATCTAGTGATGTAATAAACGTAGTTCCGTTGAACTGGGGACTAGAGTCTTGTCTACTTTGTTCCTACACGTATATGATTTACCTTTTATTACTAGCCTTTTTTGACTGGGACATAGTCTCATATATCAACAGCCTAGAGGAGGAAGAACAGGTCAGGTCATGTGGCCATCTTTAATACCTATGCTTAAGGCAACACTGCTACCACTTTGGGGCTGTAGATCATCCCTGGAGTGGGACTGCCCATAACAAGTGAATTTTTAGGTTCTAGCATGATTTTCCGTACCCTTCTTTTATTCATTCTACCCCCACAAAAGTATTATTCTTATGCTGCATTCAAAAATAGTATGTGTAAATTTCAGAAGACAAGTAATATGAGCTGAACAGAAAGGCCAGCTGCCAAGTAAAATTGATATCTGATACTTAGAATTTTTGGAATTGAAACAGCTTCTGGTTGAATAGTTGAATTAGTTAACACAACTCAACTCTGAAAGGCCTACTGTGATAAAGCAATGACATTTAACCAAGGCTGTAATTTAATTGTACTGTACCCTTTAGCAATAGCTCATTGATCTGTGAAAATATTTGCTGCTTGGTTTAATTAATTTATGTTAGTGAAATAAATAACTGCATGTTCCAAATTTCAGACTTCAGTTTATAAAACCCACTTTCCTTGGAAAACTTGTTAACTTCTTCAATATGGTTGGACGACAGGTGTTTCTGATTCCTTAGAGCTTAGAAGTAGCTCCGTTCAAATGAAGCCACCAATTTTACATTTCAACTTCTGAAGTGCCACGTTTAATCTTAAACTACTTTTTAAAACAAGCATTCATTGCTTATGAGAAGCCAAGGTGCAAGTCAGTTTAATAATATTATAACTTTTTCAAAGTCCTTTTTGGGATTTTTCATACTTTTAATTTTCAAGCTATCTAAATTAGGGAGGAAATACTTTAAGCTGGAGAACTTAGAATATAAATTGGCAGTTTCCTCAATTTTCAAAATTACCTGGAAGATCAACCCATTATTTGTGTTAGCTTGAAAGCATTTTATGGAAATCTCTTTGAATACAATGAGGTATATTTCTATTATTACATAATAGTAGGACTATTTCCAAGGATCTCTTTTTAAAAAGTCTCAAAGGTTATATAAAAATGAACTACCACTTGTATAGTATTCAATGGCTTAGGGCATACTTTTTAACATGTATTATACCATTGGAACCTCAAATGAAACCTCGTTTTACAAATTGGGAAACTGTGGCCAGAAAAGTGAAGTGACGGGTTTAACATAACATTGCTAGGAACTGAGTTCATCCCCAGTCTCCTGGTTGTGATCCTGGCCTTTTTCTCTATGCACTGAGTTACACCTTCTGATTACCTGAATTACACAGAGGTGCAGACACCAGTGCTTGGAACATTTCAGAGGTCCCATGAAGATCTGGGCTCTAACCTAGAGTAACCCAATGCAGTTGTGAAATTTCTAAGTCTCATATTTTTGCTTCTATATTGTGCATTTTGAACTCTTCATTTCTTAATGTTTTCTTATTTTAATATACAGTGTTTTAAATGACTTAACTTTTGATTGAAGTTGCTTTAGAAAGAATCACCATGTTTAATACTCCTGGGCCCCTGTCATGTCCTCTCTACAGTGGTTTTCAATGGGGTGGCGTCTGATTTTGCCCCTAGAGACATTTGGCAATGTCTGAGGACATTTTTGGTTGTCACAACTGGGGGAGTGACATCTAGTAGGTAGAGGCCAAGGATGCTGCCAAACATTCTGCAACAACCAGAATAGTCTCCCCATACCCCAGAGTTAGCTAGCCCCAATGGTCAATAGCGCTAAGCAGGAGAAACTCTGCTCTAGAGGTATATGTATCGCATCTGAAGAATAACAGGCCTGCAGTCCAAAGTACAGATAACACAGCATTCCAGATCTCTTAGTGGTTACAACCAACCATTGTGGCTTTCTGTCTTGTTGTACCCTTCAAGGATACTTTTGTCCTCCCGTTCTGGACTGCTGGGTCTTTTCTGATCATAGCTCATACTCTTTCTTGCATGTCTTTGCTCTTCATGAGATTTTGTTCTGCTCGGTTCCATTTTTATCACCATCTCCTTACTGATAACTTTGTATCAATACTCATGCCTATCCTTCAAGTACCAGCTAATTTTTCCTCTCCAAATCGTACTGTAGCTCTGAAATTCCCTTCCCCAAAATTCACAACTTATCTAATGTCTCTGAGAACCATGTCACATTTTGCCTTGTAATTATTTGTTTATCTCTCTTTCTGTATAGTAAGTTCCTTTTGCTTAGGGCAGTGATTCTAATCCCAGTGTGGTCTCCAGACCCACAGCATCAACATCACTGGAAATGTTTTAGAAAGAAAATTCTCAGACCTTACCACATACCTACTAATTAGAAACTCTGGCAATTGGATGTGGCAATCTGCAGTTCATAAATCTTCCATGTGATTCTGATGAATGTTAAAGTTTGCAAACCACTAGTTTAGATTACCCAAATTTGATTTATAATGCTGTTTAAGGCACGTAGTTGGCATTTACTATTGTGTGGATGACCTGTTAAATTATAAGCCAAAGGACTCAGTAACTATGAAATTGATAACTCTGTTGCCCAAATATCATGAAAAAAAATTCAGGTATACATAAAGAAAAAATGGAGGAGACAAAAATCAATTGGGAATAGCCAAATAAGAAAGCCCTCTTTATGTTGATTGTCTTTAGTTATAACTTTTCTTAACCAAACTTGGACATTGTATTTAAAAAGCATGGATTAAATTTTAGGATACTCATTTTTGTTTAGATATTGAATGTTTAAAAATGCTGAAAATTAACCTTGCTTCAAAAGAATGTAATTTATTAGATGCTATAATGTATTAGTGGAGGCCTTGATAATATTTTTTTAGGAGAATTGTTTTCTAGGCTCTTTAATAAAACTATGCTTCACAAATAATATAGGAAGAGCCCAAGCTCTTTCCATTGATTTCAGTTTCCTATAGCATGGTAAATATGCCTTCTATGTGTTATTGGCTAGTGCAGATTATCTTTTGGAAGTCAGTGTTTAGCTTCTAAAAAACAAAGAACTGGGATTTTTAATATTTTTTTTTTTCCTTTTTGTCCTGCAAATTCCTCCTCCTTGACTTTCCACCTTACAGGATTGATGAGGATCTGAATTTGCAGGTCATAGACATTGTGTCTAGAATAAAGTTTAGTTGTGTTATGCCTGTCTTAAAACCTAGAGTTCACACAGGGTGGCCGTATAACCCCACGATATAAGCCAATTGCCAGGTCCTGAGGCATTTATCCCTAGAGGGCAATGACATTGTCTCTTTTATAAGTAGCTTTGGAGAGAGGAATAATAGGAATAATAAAAAAATAGGAATAATAAAAGCTGACATTTATAAAGCCCTTTCTCTGTGCCAGGCATGTTAGAGTAAGGACTTTGTAGGCATTATCTAATTTAATCCACTAAGTATTACATGCTGTTTAAAAGCCCCTGCTGACCATATCAGGAAGTAATTTCCAAAACTTTTCAGTTTTATGGAACTTTAAAAGATACAAAAATGTTTCCATCATTTAGAATCAAACTCCCTTGAGAGATAATATTTTGTTTTGATATAAATATATATATATTTACTTATATAGTTATAAATAAACTTACTCTTTCTCCATACTCAAGTTTGAATGGAGGGGGATATTGATGGAAAAGTTTGCTTTCGAGAAAGACTTGAGAATCTGAGGATATAACTGTGTTGTACAGCTAGGAATATTCAGACTGCTTGTGGTTCTTTTGTTTCTGGGAGCTATTCCCTGTTCCAATCTTGTATTAACAGTTTTTCTTTTTTTTCTTTTTGTCTGACCCAGTATACTTGGGCCATGCATGGGGTATTCTCAGACAGGTGACTTATCTTTGGCAAAGTGGTATGTGAGCACCTTCCTGGTTGAGACCAGAAGCTGTTCCCAGCCCCCTGATACTCCTGAATATACAGGAAATAGATCACAAGATGAGAACAGCTTAGATATGAATCAGGTGATTTTATTAGTTCTATGGGGAGTAGATGACCTTGAAAATCCTTTCCAGCTCTGAATTTTACTAAGAGATGTAAGTCTTGGGAGATGTCCTTCCAAGGTGACCTCTTGAAAGTTAACATTAAATACATTAGCCAGTATTACCATGTTATTCCCTGATTTTTTGAAAATCCTATGGTTTTAGTAGAAGCATATTGGACAAGAAAATACAGATGAGTCAGAAGAAGAAAGAAAAAGGGAGAGAGATGAAAATTCTAGAGTTCAGGCCAAATGATATTAAGGAATTAGGTGGGTCCTTTTTTTCTGTATTTGTTTTCTAATTTTATTTTTATTTCTCCCCAGCTTCACTGAGATATACGTGACCAATACAAATTGTTTAGATTTAAGATGTAAAACGTGATGATTTGATATACATATACACCATGAAATGATTACCACAATCGTTAATTATCACATCCATCACCTCACATAGTTACCCTTTTTGGTAGTGAGAATTCTTAGATCTACTTTTCTAGCAAATTTCAATTATACAATATAATATTAACTATAGTTACCATGTTGTACGTTAGATCCTCAGAACTTATTCTTCTTGTAACTGAAAGTTATTTGTTGATTAAATGAAATTTCTGTGTCATTCCCTTCAAAATTGCATTCCTTCTTACATTCCTATTGATTCCACCATCTCTCTGTCCCAGTGACTTACAGTAGCATTGGATTCTGACAGGTGTTATCCCAGACCTCCCTTCCTCCTCATTCCTAAGTGGTATTTAGCAGAGGATTGCGAAGGGAATGGGGATGGTGAGAGACTGGAGAGGTATAGAAAATAGAGGGGTGCATTTCCTGTAAAACAGAGGTTCCCAACCCCTAGACCATGGACCAGTACGGGTTCATGGCCTGTTAAGAACCAGGATGCACAGCAGGAGGTGAGCCAGCGAAGAAGCATTACCACCTGAGCTCCGCCTCCTCTCAGATCAGGGGCAGCATTAGATCAGGTCACCAGGCATTAGATTACAATAAGGAACAGGCAACCTAGATCCCTCACATGCACACTTTACATTGGGTTCAGTTGGGCTCCTATGAGAATCTAATGCTGCCTGTTCCTTATTGTAATCTAATGCCTGGTGACCTGATGTGGAACAACAGTTTCATTCTGAAACCACCACCCTCCCCCAGTTCATGGAAAAATTGTCTTCCACAAAACCGGTCTGAGGTGCCAAAAAGGGGACTGCTGCTGTAGAGAATTTCCAAACAATAAGAAAACTAAAAGTTGGTCTGCTTTTTTTTATCATCATGCAAAGGCAAGAGCAATGTCAATGACAAAATACTCCCCTCCACAGAAGGTTCCTACTTTGTTCCCTGCACCTGCTATGTCACTGTGTTTTAGCAAAGGGAGCTTAAGTTCTTTTGGAAATGGAGAAGATATGGACATCTGTTCACCATGATACTCTTAGAAAAAATCTAATAGCCTTTTCTTTTTTGTGTGTGTTTTGTGTGTGTTTAGGCAAGGAAACAGTTACCATTCTTCCAGGAGCCTCTTTTTTCTCCAGCGATGAATCATTTGCAATGATTAGAGGGTACGTAATAACAGAGCCCCTCATGTTTCACACAGTGTGGAATGAGCTGAATCATCCTCTGAGTATGTTAGCAAGGCTCTGAAACACAGCCACATTTCCCAGCCAGAAAGCTATCAGGAGTTTGTTCGGCTGCAAGATGTGAAGTTATTCACATCAAATGTTAAGCATTGAATATCCAGCCCACCATTAGGAAAAGAACCCCCAAAATGGAATCTATGTCTTTATACCAACCAGACTGAAATAAACATTTCTAAGGTTCGTTCTGAGGATTCTAACATTTTCTTCAAACTGTGTTCATGTTCTAGCTAGTGTTTGTCTTCAAATAGTCACATTCTACCTCACTGAAGGAAACAATCTCCCTGTGTACACCTGATCATAATTTGTTATTGAGACAGTGTATACTATAACTTTAAAAAATTCTTAATGATTATTTCTCTGTATCAGCTTGGATCTGATCTATTTGGAAATCAGTTGTATGGTGGGGGAAGCAAATATATTTTGGTGTTATGAAGTTATTCTAATTGCTGGCAAGTTCAAGCAAAGGGGACAAAAGCTTGTTAGGTTTGCTTTATTCTTCCTCTTTCTTTCTCAGGGGCCATGTCGATCTGACAATGCTAGGAGCCATGCAGGTTTCCAAATATGGTGACCTAGCCAACTGGATGATACCTGTAAGTAGACATTTTTTTATTCTGAATTATGCTTGGATCAGAATAATTATTTTTTAAATACTAAGGCAAAAATCTTATCAAAGGGCCATGAGATCACAAGTCTTTTAAAAATGAAATATTTTAATGTATATTTCTTATTAGAATCAAATTTTAATTAAGCAGGCACTGAGATGTATTCAGCTTTGCCAGTTTACCATGTAGTTGGGACTAAAAGTAGTCAAGGTCAGAGCCAAAACATCTTCCTTAGAAGAAACCAAGTTGGAGGAGACTTAAAAAACAGAAAAAGTGCTAATTATACACGGAAAGTAAGAAATACAAATGTTTACCATAACCAAAGTTTTAAACTAGAAAGAACAATTAACAAGTTTGTTAATGTTGTTAGTTCTATTAATCAGTGATTGAAATAATCTTAATTGGTCATGGGACCCCATGAATAATCATTGTCCTCTACTATGGAATGCAAAACCTGTGAGAATTTAACATCGTCGTGAAATGCACAGTTGTCATTTGATAATGACCTAAATCAAGGAAGAAACCTCCTAGAATTAGCTTTGAAAAGAGGACTGTTATCACTGACTTAATTCATGAGTGTAGTTCATTATAGACCAGGTTGTTGCTTCCCAATTATGTTGCATGGAAACAACAATGATTATGTTTATGATTATGAGCTCATTTTGGCTGGTAGCCCAGTTGCTCTTTGTGTGTGTATTTAAGGATTTTCATGTGTTTCTCTATAGAACCAGCTAAGAAGAATCTTGTCAAATAACTGAGGCTGGTGTTCTATGATACAACAGTTTTCTTGAATTTGCTTTTTAATAATTTTTTGAAGAAGGTGGATTAATGTAGTTGATAATAATATTAGAGATCATGTTAGTCTAGCTCATTTGATCTAATGCCACCTGAAATGTTATTTTAAGTTTTAATAATTATTCAAACCCTAGTTTCCAAACTTGGTGGCATATTGGAATCTCCTCAGAGTTTAAAAAAATTTCGATGCCTGGGTTCCAGCCCAGATAGTCTGTAATTCAATTAGTCAGGGATGTAGCCTGGACACTGGGTCATTCAAAGCAACTCAGTGGTTCTAATATGTGACCAGGTTTGAGAACCAGCATATTAAAGATTGATTACAACTCAGCCCATTTTAAAATGTAAGAGAAAAACATCATTGAGCCATTATGGTAAGAACTCTTAGCAAATTGTGGATTATGTTTTCAGTTTAGTTGTAAAAATATTGATCTTTCTGAATCAGCCATAATTTAAGGGTCCACAGTTTTTAGTTACTTCAAAAAAAAAACATCAGGGAGGGTCTCCTGAGCATCATATAGTAAGTCAGATTGAAAGTATATGGAGGTACTTGTGCAGGAAATTGGAATGTATTTCTGTTTTCAAGTTTTAGGAAAGGGCCATATAGGGTAGTAGAGTGAGTATAGGAAAGCAAGCCCTGGGTTTTAGCACTGACTCTACCAGTAATTGAGGTGTGACCTTGGACATTTCACTTATGCTCTTTGGGTTAAAATGCCCTCATCCATAAAGTGAGGGTTTGAGACCAGATAATTTTATGGGTCTCATTTGGTTCTCTTAGCTTAGTGGGCAAGAGCAAGGCCCTGTAGTGAGATAGTCCTGGGTTAAAGTCTTATTTCTGACACTTGCTGGCAGTGTAACTTGAGCTGATTTCCTGTTTTTCCTCATCTGTAAAATGGGAATCATATAATAGTACCTATTTGTAGGACTATATGAAGGACTACACATGATAATGCATGCAAAGTACATAGCACAGAGCTTGATACATAGCACCTGGTAAATTGGTTATTATTTTTATAAGAAGTTGTGGATACCTGGCAAAGAAGAGAACAGCATTGGGTCCTATGAAAAAAAGCAATAGGGTTTTAAATATATCTGTTTCTCTGGACTAATGATTTTTGAAATCAGTTTGCACAGTGGTCCTGGGTATGGAGCAGAAATGTGTTAAATTTCTTCTTCCCTTTGGGGAACATGCACATCTTTATATCACTGTAAGATTTGTTTAGATTATGATTTATCATATAGAAAGGCTGGAAACTCTCATAGTGACAATGTACATTATATAGTTATTTGTAGGAAAGTTTTTCCAACGTGTATTATATTTTTACATATCCTGTTAAGATTCCTGTGAATGGCTAAAATACAAATGTTTATTACTTTATACTTTTCTCAATATAACTTGGAGCCTATGAGTTCCCAAAGGAATGGACTTCGTATGGTAAACAGCTCTGGAGTTCTGTAGCAACATCATGGAAATCTAGTTGAGAAAAATTAAGCATAAAAAGTGTTCTTGGGTTTGGTTCCACTGTTTTGATAGTGGAAGTTGGTAGTGTTACTTCTGATTAGCATTTCTTTTGTTGCTTTCATAACTGATAATCATTTCCTGACTTCTTTGTATATATTTTCATTATTGAGACTCAGGGAAGCTTCAGAATCAAGACCATAAGGTTTAGTTTGGTTTGAATTTCAGCTCTACCTTTTAAAATTATGTGATCTGGAGCACATGTTTTTGCTAGGATTAAGTGAGAAGAAAATGAAAAATGAACACTGACAGCAGTCTCTAAATAGTGGCTGCTATTAAGTAATGCTCTATTACTTAAAATTAAAGAGAGAATATTTACCTTAAAATATACCAGTATAAGCAAGATGATCTTGCAGGAGCCAGTATAACCTGCTTATCCTAAGTCCTTATTCAAGCACCAAAAATTAAGCCCTTTTTAGGATACATTTTTTTCTGTTATTGGTTATGGATAAAGATATAGCTTACCTTCCTTACGTAATTTCAGTAAGCAAGCTATTTTTATTTGTTCCAAAGGTTTGTTGACTTATATAATTTAAATATATTTTTATTGCAAGATCTGGCAGTCAAGAAGCTGCAAAGTTCAGTTTTATTATATCATTTTTCATTTATTTTATCTTTTTCCTGAGTTTAATAATCTTTCAATGGCTGTATAAGCCATGAATTCTCAGCATCATGACATCATAATCAATCATTACAGCATCAGATTACAATAAACATTAAGCCTTCAGGGCAAGCAAACGATGTGGATGCTATTTGTCTTACCCTTTAATAGCTTCTTAGTATGCAGTGTTGGTCTCACATGCACAGTTTTTTAACAATTCTACCCTGAGCATCCAAAGAGAGAAAACTTGACAAAACAGGATTTGGCTCCTTCAAGCTCCCTGCTGATTGTGATGATGGTAAAACCACAGGCAAGCTAATAAATGATGGAAAGATGTGCAGTCTGCTGAATCTATATTCAGAGCTGCTCTAGTGCCTTCCTAATGCCTATTTTTGGAGAACAGCTGGCATTGATTATTGACTTATGAAGGGAAGCAGATGTGTACGGTCAGCTATGAGAGCTGGTTATTGAAAGCACAAAATAGCAGCCCACTGGACAGGGCTGCAGTACGTGAGTGGCACGAGAGCCAAGAGCCCTCCTCTGTGTGGAAAGGATTGAATGAAGCATTCTTATGGCAAGCAAGACACTTCTGGTGTCTTTTGTTTTTCCTTTTCTCCCTCACATTTTTCACCTCTTTGTGCATTTGAAAAGAATAAATACTAATTAATGTCATACTCATGTGTGCTCCATGTCTGAGCACATAAAATTGGTTGGGTTCTCTGGATATGCTGCCTGTTTTAAATCAGTTAAGTCTCTAGTATTCCTGGTTATAAAACTACAAGGGGATTTGTGTCCAAGTTTCAATCCATTAGTTTAGTTGTATCAATTGTAATCCAAACATTAAATCCAAAATATAGATATTTAAATATATCATGACATAGATGAAGAAATAAGCATAAATCTCTAGATATTGTTTTAACATTAGTGTATTGTTTATTTGGTCCTGAGGCACAGGAAAAGAAAAACAGGTGGAAAATATATATGAGATGGTGTGAAACTTTTACAATTAGTAATGCCTTTCTCTTATTAGTATAATATAGTAGAAATCTCATAAAACTTTGGAATTAGACAGACTTTAGCTTAAATACTGGTTCTTATTGATCATTTAGTGTATCACTGTTTTAGTATATTCATTGGTAAAATGATAACTTTTAATGCATGCTTGTTCTGGGGATTAAATTAGCTCATTCATTCAACAAGTATTGATTTGGCAAAGATTAAGAGCCAGGCAGTGTTAAATATAAAGGTCAATGTTTTTGGGAATGCAACAGTTAACAAAACAGACAAAATTCTCTGCATTTATGGAGCTGACATTCTAACAGAGGTCAGCAAACTGTGGTCCATGTACCAAGTCTGGCTTCTGCCTATTTTTGTAAATTTCTCTTGGAGCGTAGCCATATCCACTCATATATATATTTTTTATGGCTGCTTTTCTACTGCCACAGTAGAGTTAAGTAGTTAGAATAGAAGCTGTGTGGCTTGCAAAGCCTAAAATATTTACCATTTGGCCCTTTACAGAAAAAATTTGCCAACTCCTGCCTTAGCTCATTGATTCGAAACCTTTTTTCTCTAATAGAAGCAAGTAATGCTGTACATTTCTCTCTAATCACTGTATTAGTGACATCTACAAATTTTTATGTTGTTTCAGTCTCTTCAAAATACTTTCTGACCTTCCTTGTTATTTTTTTCCGTGACCCATTGTTTATTTAGAAGTGTATCAGTTTCCAAATATTTGGTGATTTTCCACATAACTTTAAAAAGTTTTTCAGTTTATTTCTTTTGAGGTCAGAGAGCATACTCTTTATAGTGTCAGTACTTTTAAATTTGAGACTTGTTTATGGCCCAGAATATAGTCTAATTTTAGTGACTGTTTCATTTGCACTTGAATATATATTCTGCTCTTGTTGGGTAGATTGTTCTATAAGTGTCATCTGGGTCAAATAGGCAGTTAGTGTTGTTCGAGTGTTCTGTGTCTTATCAGTTACTGAGAGAGTAGTCTTGAGCTCTTCAGCTATAATTGTGGATGTGTTTTTTTTCTTTGAGTTATATCACTTTTTTGCTTTATCTTAGAGCTGT